GCTCAAATGATTTTTTTTTTTTTTTTTGAGTTGGAGTCTCACTCTGTCGCCCAGACTGGAGTGCAGTGGCCGCTCCCGGCCACCGCAGCCTCAACCTGCTGGGCTCCGGCGATCCTTCCACCTCAGCCTTCCAAGTAGCTGGAATTACAGGCATGCGCTACCACGCCCAGCTGATTTTTTTTTTTTTTATTTATTGGCGGGTCTCGAACCCGTGGGCTCAACAATCCACTCACTTCAGCCTCCCAAAGGCGCGGGATTACAGGCTGAGCCACCGAGCCCGGCTCAAATGATTTTTTAATGGACTAAGTAAACAGTTGTCTTTTGGAAAGTAATATTAAATATTTTGTTTCTTAATTTTAGTTATTTTTTGTATCATGTTTTGATGGTGGAAATATTGAATGTAGTTCATCAGTTCTAAGATGCTGTTGTTTATAAGATGTACCCTTATTTTATGTCTTACTAAGAAAGAGGAAAAAAAAGCTGCCAATTAAATGGATAATCATTGATTTTAAGATGCATCCTGCCAAGCATGGTGGCTCATGCCTATAATCCCAACACTTTGGAAGGTAGAGTTGAGAGGATTGCCTGAGTCCAGGGGTTTGAGACCAGTCCAGGCAACTTGGCAAGATCTTGTCTCTACAATAAAATCAAAACATAGCCAGCAGTGGTAGCATGTGCCTGTGGTTCCAGCTACTTGGAAGGCTAAGGCGAAAGGATCACCTGAGCCCTGTAGGTCGAGGCTGCAGTGGTCGTGAGTGTGCCACTGCACTCTAGCCTGGGTGACAGTAAGATGCATCCCAATTTCAGAGATGTTAAAATGTGAATTAATGTGTACATTAGAATTGGTAAAATATTAGATATTAGATACTAATGATGATAATGAGCCTTTTCCTTAAAAAATTAACAAAGTAGATATTAATCATACTTTATATTTAAATTTTGGCTAGAACTGACAGATTGTACATACATTTAAGCTACTGTTTCCTGAAAGCTCACTAAAATAACGGCAGCTCAGTTTTAAAAGGCATAAACCTGCAAGGACAAAGAGAACAGGAGAGTCTACCACAGCAAATGACAATTATCAACAATTTTTAGAAAATGAATGAATGAAGAGGTTTTGGTATTTGGTTATTGTGGAAAAAAAATTAGTGAAAAGTACATAGAAAGTTACAAACAAAAACATTTAGCCTCAGAGAAAATAAAAAATTGTACAAGCACATGGCTTAGTTGTGAACAGTGTTTACACACTTATATAATGTAAGTTACTGAGTAGGTTTGATTTTTTTATTGGGAAGTTGGGGGAAGAGAAAGTAGGAATGTTTGGTAGTGTAAGAGAGTTAAAAACAAATATGTTTTTATTTTTTAAAAACATATGTTTTATTTTTTTAATTTTTGATTTTTAAAATTTTTAAGTTTCTAATTTTTTTTGAGTTGGGAGTCTCACTCTGTCTCCCAGGCTGGAGTGCAGTGTCACACTCACGGTCACCCTAGCATGGACCTGCTGGGCTCAGGCAATCCTTCTGCCTCAGCTTTCCAAGTAGCCGGAACTACAGGCACGCACTACCATGCCCAGCTAATTTTTTGATTTTATTGTGGAGATGAGGTCTCACCATATTGCCTAGGATGGTCTCGAACCCGCAGGCTCAGGAAATCCACTCGCCTTGGCCTCCCAAAGTACTGGGAATACAGGCTGAGCCACCGAGCCCGGCCTATTTATTTATTTTTTATTTTTTTATTTTTTTGAGTCGGAGTCTTACTCTGTCACCCAGGCTGGAGTGCAGTGGCATACTCATGACCACCACAGCCTTGACCTGCTGGGCTCAGGTGATCCTTCTGCCTCAGCCTTCCAAGTTGCTGGAAGTACAGGCGTGCACCACCATGCCCAGCTAATTTTTTTATTTTATTGTAGAGATGAGGTCTTGCCTATCCTGGACTCAGGCAATCCTCTCACCACTGCCTCCCAAAGTGCTGGGATTACAGGTGTGAATCTGGCTAAAATCAAATATTTTTAACATTGCAAGTCAACCATGTCTAAAATTGATCAGTCAGGAATTATCAATATAAGCATGACATTTAGAATTATGGAAGGAATAGCACAGGAAACTGCTTAAAAGTAGTTGCCTTTGTGGAATGAGGTTCTGGGATCAGGGAGCTGTCATTTTGTTTAGGCGCTTCTTAGTACTATTGTCTTTTTTTTTTTTTTGAGTTGGAGTCTCACTCTGTCGCCCAGACTGGAGTGCAGTAGCACGCTCCTGGTCACCGCAGCCTTGACCTGCTGGGCTCCAGTGATCCTTCCATCTCAGCCTTCCAAGTAGCTGGAACTACAAGCACACGCCACCATGCCTGGCTAATTTTTTTTTATTTATTGTAGAGATGAGGTCTCGCCAAGTTACCCAGGCGGGTCTCGAACCCGTGGGCTCGGGCAATCCACTCACCTCAGCCTCCCAAAGTGTGGGATTACAGGCTGAGCCACCGAGCCCAGCTACTATTGTCCTTTTAACTACTATTTTTTTACTTTGATAAAATAAGTTTTAAATAAGAAAAAAGGAACCTAGTGTGGTGATGTTGATATTTTCCACTTGGGGCTAGTTAAGCAATATAATCTTGATTAGAAATGAAAGAAGAGAGAGCATTTCTACTACACCACATGAAAGAGTTCACTTAGAAGTGCTGGAGTAGATGTTCACTGTGACCCACCTCTGCCTTGGGTGGCTTAAGCAGATCATAGAAAGAAGTAGTAGTAGACACGAACACAGATTCAAAGTAAATTTGTGCATACAATGGAACAGGATAGAGATTCCAAAGCAAAATCTCAATTTCTTAACCAACTCGTCTTTGACAAAGCCTCCACCAACAACCACTGGGGAGAGGAGATCCTATTCATCAAATATTTAAGTTCTATATTATGAGTTAAACACCATTCTAGACTTTGGGGTTAAAGACAAAATAGAAATACAGTATTTTTATTTTATCATCAGAAAAACAGTTGTAAAGCCTTTTCCCTGTGGTATTTACACTCTTAAGTTACATGGAAAACTGGAAAGGCCAGTATTTGTTTTCCCCTCTCTGCTTCTTCTCCAACTTTTTAGTAAGTGGTTTAAATTTGACCTGGAACAGCACAATTTGGTGATAAATAGCAAGGTGTTCAGGTTCTTCAGGATATTGACATTGCCTGACAGGTCTTACTGAGTGTCTCCTCTGTGAATGTAATCTTCTGTGCCTAAGTGAGCCCTCACTTGTATGGCTAGGACTGGGGAGAGATTGGTTTAATCCTTCTATCAGTCAGTTCCTGGCAGGACATTAATACCCTTGTATGGTTCTTAGAAGTTTACAGCTAAATGATACTAATAATAACTATTTATATATACTTTACAAAGCTCTTAACATCTGTTGTCTCATTTTGTTGTCCATCTATGAGATATAATTCCAGTTTTATGGACTGAGAAGGTTTACATGACTTACCCGAGTGCATATTGGTAGGTGACAGCTAGAAGCTGAATTAAATTAATCTCTTGACTTCAATCATGAACTTATTTTGCTGTCCAACTATTTTTCCTTAAAAGATTCTGGGAAATGAGTTCTACCTTAAGGACCACGTCACTGACCTTCCTTATTTCATTCTCTCCTCAGTTTAATTCATTTGACCCTCAGACACAAATCAGTCTTTCTTTTATTTATTTATTTTTTTTAAGTTGGAGTCTCGCTGTCACCCAGACTGGAGTGCAGTGGCCGCTCCCAGCCACCGCAGCCTCGATCTGCTTGGCTCCGGCGATCCTTCCGCCTCAGCCTTCCAAGTAGCTGGAACTACAGGCGTGCGCTACCACGCCCAGCTAATTTTTTTGATTTATTGTAAAGATGAGGTCTTGCCTGCCCAGGCGGGTCTCGAACCCGTGGGCTCAGGCAATCCACTCACCTCAGCCTCCCAAAGGCGCGGGATTACAGGCTGAGCCACCGAGCCCGGCTCAGTCTTTCTTTACAAAAAAAAAAAAAGGAAACAATATTTCATTGCTTATTTTAGCCCTTTACTGTCTGTTTCCTTAAGTCTCAGTTCCTGTGCCTGCTTTTTAGAATTCCTCATAATCTGTTGTTCCTACCTATTCAGCATTGTCTTTCATTATTCCCTAACATATACTCTTTATTCAAATCAGGCAAATCTGTTTTTTGAATGTATTTAAACTTCAACCCATTCCTATTTTCTGATTTTAGCTTGTAGTTTCTCTTATTCAGCCCTTCCTTTGGGGCTCCATCCAAGGCTTTCCTGGTAACTATAATTAGCAGTGGGTGCTCTAGTTCTGACTGCAAATATCACTTACTATCTGTACTGTACAGTTTTGCTTTTTCGGGTGACACCTTTAATAAAGACAGTACTGTATACTGTCTTTCCGTGCTCTCTAATTGCTTTCACATGTTCAAAATAATAAGAGAATTTAAGTCTCTTGACACCAGAAACCAGAGCTCTCACATATATCACATATACCCAGAGTAGTTCTTAAGCACATGCCAGATACTCTTTAAATACTAGTTATTCCAATAAATATATCCAGGTGGCAGAGTCCACTGGTAATGATGATGTGGTCCAAGTAGATCAGAGTTTTTTAGAAAATGCATCTGTGTCTCTTAATTTTTATCAAGAATGTACTTGAAGTCGGGCTCGGTGGCACAGCCTGTAATCCTGTGCTTTGGGAAGCTGAGGTGAGTGGATTGCCTGAGCCCACGGGTTCAAAACCCGCCTGGGCAACTTGGCGAGACCTCATCTCTACAATAAATTGAAAAATTAGCCGGGTGTGGTAGCGCGCGCCTGTAGTTCCAGCTACTTGGAAGGCTGAGGCCAAAGGATCACCGGAGCCCAGCAGGGTGAGGCTGTGGTGGTCAGGAGTGTGCCACTGCACTCCAGTCTGGGCAACAGAGTAAGACTCCAACTCAAAAAAAAAAAACAAAACAGAATGTACTTGAGGATGATTTTTACATTCCCTTCTTCTCTGCTTTTGTTTTGGTGCCAGGCTGTTGATGATGTGAAGAAAGGTTACATCAAAGCAGAGGAAAAGTCTTACCAATTACAGAAGCTATATGAACAAAGAAAAATGGTCATGGTATGTTTATATCCCCATAATTCCTTTATAAAATGTCCTTCTTACCTCTTATACCTATTGTTCTAGTCATTTTTTAAAGAATTGGAATCTGGTCAGTGGCTTAACTAAAAAAAAAAAAGGAGTGGGCCAGGCACAGTGGCTCACACCTGTAATACCAGCACTTTGGGAGCAGAGGCGAGAGGATTGCCTGAGCCCGGGCGTTCAAGACCAGCCTGGGCAACTTGGTGAGAGTTTGTCTCTACAATAACTAAAAAAATTAGCCTGGTGTGGTGGGGCACACCTGTAGTTCCAGCTACTTGAAAGGCTGAGGTGAAAGGATCGCCTTGAGTCCAGCACGTCAAGGTTGTGATGGCCGTGAGCATGCCACTGTACTCCAGAGTGGGTAACAGAGTGAGACTCTGACTCAAAAAAAAAAAAAAAAAAAAGGAGGAATATAGATCTTGATGAAAAGTTCATCGTATCTCTTCATTTAACTTACAAATAACTTGCATTACTATACATTGGAAACTAATGTTATTATTAATAATAACTACATAGTATTCTTTTTTGTTAAAAAGTGCTAAAATAAAAGATGTGTACAGCATTACAATATGATGTGGATAGAATTGTGTAAGAACTGATATTTAGATTTTTAACTTGAGAAATTATTTTAGTTATGATTTGGCAATAGTAAAATCATTTGTTTTTACAGTTTCCATTTCTGCAGTTGCTTAAACATTTATGCTCAGTCATGCTTTTGGTTAATATAATACACTAGAGTCATGCTGTTCGATTCAATAACTACTAGACTCGTGTGGCTATTTAAATCTAAACTTAAATTCATTTAAATTAAATAAAATTTAAAATTCAGTTTTTTAGTTGCACTATCCACATTTTAAGTGCTAAGGAGCCATATGTGCAGTTAGCAGCTTTCATATTGGACTATGCAGGTAGAGAATATTTTCATTGTCACAGAAAGGTCTGTTGGACAGGGCTGCCTAGAGTGTTTCTTTTTCTTTTTGAGTTGGAGTCTCACTCTGTCGCCCAGACTGGAGTGCAGTGGCTGCTCCCGGCCACCGCAGCCTCGACCTGTTGGGCTCGACCTGCTGGGCTCCGGCGATCCTTCCACCTCAGCCTTCCGAGTAGCCGGAATTGAGGCATGTGCTACCACGCCTGGCTGATTTTTTTTTGATTTATTGTAGCGTTGAGGTCTCGCTGCCCA